CTGAGCTGCGGGCGGCCGGTGGCTGCGGCCGCACGGGGAGGGCGGGAAGGAGCGGGGCGGCGGGCAGAGGTTTGCGGGGAAATTCCGAAGGAGCGGAGGGAATGGCCCGAAGTTTTGTTGGCCAAATTGGGAAGCCAAGGTGCAGCTAAAGTTTGGAATCGTAAGCAAGAGAGGGAGCTGTGGGGGGAGCGGTTGTGGGGGAGGGTTCTGAGCAGATCACTAAGGGGCTGGGGGACATAGTTTGGTTTAGAAGATGTAGGTTTAGGTTCTGAGTGCATAGTTGAATATGATGGTTGTTTAACCAAATGCCCCTCATTCTGAGTGCGCTCTTTTGAAATCTGTAGATAACTGACAAACACAAAGTCACAGGGTGAGAGGGGACGCACGCTACGGGTATAAATAGAGGCAGGGATTTGGGATAAACATGGCAAGGAGAATTGGGAGGGGACGAACATGGCAGAAACCGAAGAAAGCCAAGTTCCCTTATGGTTTAGGGGAAAATGGCAAAAGGCAGGGGCATGTAAGTGGTTTTGGGGGATGGAGAGACCAGTAGGACTTTGAGGGTGAAAGTGGGTGCAGTGCAGAAAGGTTTCCTCTCAGGGCCGATACCAAGAAAATTAGTTCATTTAGCGGAATTAATTCATAGAAATTGATAGGTATGAGAGAACAATCGAGGTTGGAAGAAACATAGCTAGTGATGGATAGTATAAAGAAATATTCATGGTGTAATAACTTCATACCCCTACTCGTTTCAGGAACAGGTATATTGTGAGTATGGTGAGTCACTTGACTGAGCAGTTAAGATTTTGCATTCTGGTGGAAAACACGACTTTTTACCATATTGAGTGGAGCTGTGAATGTGAAGTATGTTGATTTAAGCAGTTTTGAACCAAGAGTGCAAGAAGGGAATTTCAAGAATTCAGTGGAAAATAAGTTTTTTAAAAATTAAGTGTAAGAAGTATTTACCACTCTGTGACTTCCTGCTCTGTTTCTGTGCTCATGTGTGCTTCATATTTGCCTCCTCTTCTTTGAGTTTCCAGAGTGTTAAAGCTGATCCAAATTTAACACACTGTACCTAAAAACAGCTTCAAAACCAAAAGCTATTTGTAGTTGGTAAGGAAGAATGTAGTTCTACTTGTTTCCTTGGTTCTATTGTGGTTGCAGTACAAGGGGACTTCAAGAAGTTCTT